ATTTCTACAAGCAATAAACATTGATCAGATTCAATTTGCGCTTAGTTCAAAGTTTGGCTGTATATTTTCGTGAGTCGCCCTGAAGCTATAAAAATATTTTTGTACAACAGACATAAATCTTCATAGACAGCATTAAAGGTGTGGTGATTACTGGAATGTTGATAATATTGTACACAGTATAGTAGATACATGCATACATACATTATTCTAATTTCACAAAGTTATGATGTCAAATAAATGTGTGAGAAGGGTTTGCTCCCCTGGGGTCAGTCATGACTCAACGTTTCCCTTGATTTTAGTCTACGTGATCTGAACACACATTAATACACAGTCATGATATGTTTTTCATATATTTTAACATCGAGTAATATCTAATCCATTCCCATGCTGATATGATGGAGAACACAACATAATATCAGTCAGTTGCTTTATGCTATTAGGAAGCATTTAGTTTATAGTTTAATCTAACTAACTGATATTCATACCAATTTAATAATATCTACTGACTTACTTTTCGAGATAAATCTAAAGGAAAATTATAATGAACAAGTTCACCGATAGAGGAAGGAAAATTGAGCACAGGTAGGAGATATGCTCACTGACAATTTGTTGAGAGCAATAGCCAATATCTACGGATGGGCTGGAAAACCCATTATCCAATAGGTCAACAGTGAACACTAACGCTTCTGGATTGAACGCTGTGACCATTCTATGATTGAATTCGGTGCGACTCTGCCAATACATTGAGAAAAATCAACTATCGATACAGAATTGACGCTACGATTCAAACTTATACTTTCCTCTTACAGATTTTCTATATAAAATGGAAAATTCATAAGATACGGTATCCTATACTATAAGAGACAAGTTTCAAAGTGATATTTCTTTGGCGGAACCACTGTTGGAAACAGTAGCCGCATCAAGTATCGAGGCACCGCAGTGGAGCTTATCGTACCAACTTTATGAATAACAACTTTTATATACGGCTACAGGGCTACTCGCCATAATTTATGATAAAAATATTTAAGGAGGTACTATTGAATAGATAATAACATTGATAATGGATTAATATCGAGAGTATCATAATGATAACGCGGTTTCCCTCGACTGTAGGTACACAATATAACAGTATTGGACCTGTGTAGGTAGTGAACATAAAGCTCAATTTTACAAGAATGTTGTTTGATAAGAAAAGGTCGAAACGCTAATTTGTTAAGAGCTAATTAGGAGAGAACATTAATATTACACTCTCGCGAATAGAAGCCTATTTGCGAAGGACAGTGAGGCAGTTAAAAATAGCCTTCTGCAATAATGAGTGAAGACAGTTAGTAACTTCGGTGATTATTTACCTTCTACCGACTCACACCTTGCCTTTATTGAAAATAAAGGGATTTTAATATGTGATAAAGTATTAGTAAATTATCTGAGCCTCTATAGATAATTTCGACTCCAGTTAGACAGATGGCCCACAGGTCGGCAAATTCATATCGCTTGGATATTGAGTTAGAAAAAGATGTCCTCTATACTTAATACTTCATGAAATCTTTTATTTTTTACTATTTTATCAAATAAAAACAAGATAACGTTGTAGTGGTGTAAGGTATAATGTTCCATATTGATAGAGACCTTCGAGAGACCAAGTTTTTAATTCAATTGTAATTTGTATCTGGTTGGAATCCCTTTGTGACGTTTTACTGTTGAGAAGTAGCTGCACATACAATTTGTTAAGGGTGATATTGGCGGTGTATCGTGATAAAATAAAATTAATGTTAGAGCAATTAAACACAGCCGGTCATTCCGGGTAATTTGGGCAACGCAGCCGGATAATGTCGTTACGCACGGAATGATACACATGTTGATAAACAATCATATTAATTGAGGTATAAATTAACGTTTTTATTAAAAAGTTGTGACTGCTTTATCCTTTGCTTTTTATGGTATTACCTCGATAACAGAGCATCGAAGAGATAACGGTGAGTCGTACAAATAGTAAGTTTAAATGTAGCGCATGAGCGAATCTGATAGGAAAGCACTCTTCACGTTAGACACAGTATCGTATCTGCTGATCGTTTGCTGACTGGGACTTCGGATAATAGCCGTTTCTGTACACACACATAGACATTCTATTACAGCTTTATCTACTTGGACTGCGAGTTTAAAACCCTATTCGCTGTGGTTGAAATATCTCATCCGCACTCAATATTGTTTCACGACACACTGGACAGCTAGACACTACATAAATATTCCTACTAATCCATTACAATAAATTATTAAAAATCAACCCAGAACGCTAGTGCACAGAATCTATCTATAACATTAAAATATCATATCAAACAGCACGTCAAGGTAATTGTTGGAGTTCAAGGATACAGGAGTAGCATGTAATTTAATACAAGAACACGCCGCCATTATAAAATATTTAGCTATACGTTGTGTTAGCTCCACGTTTACAACAACGGAACAACTCTCAACAAAGCGAACTTCACTCAAGAAACAATGAAACTTATGAATAAAATATCGCGCCACCTTTGAGTTACAGGGTGCCTTGTTCAGTTATTTAGTGGAATTCAGAAAATAAACTTCTAATTCTACAAACAAAACAAAATCTAGATAAACTTTCAGATGACAAACTTTTCCTTGACAAAGAAAGGCTTTTAAATCCATCAGTGGCATATGACGCGCGTGCGGCAGACTTCAATAAAAAGGGACGCGATAAAACCACCCGTCTCCGCGCGCCTTTAGAGGCACACGCTCTCCTGGAGCCTCCATATGTGTTAAATGAGCCGACTGCCAGAGAAACAAATGTTTCATATTACCTAGCTATAGAAAACTAACATAAACGTAATGAAAAAACAAATAGATTTTACACAAATTGATCACTCTATTGTTAAAGGTAATCCAATAAAAAGCTTTCTTAAAACTGTCCAGCTGAAAGTTATTTACTTTCAGCGCAATGTCCACAGCGGCCGGCGCGCGGCGCGCCCTTAACACACAATGTTACTTTTATCACTATCATAAAAAGGGTACAGCAGTCCACTATTATTGTTAAAAATATAAAATCTTCTTGGAGATTAGTAATAAGAAGAAATCGTCGACGAAACTACAAAAAAATATTTGTTTAGTTATACACTGTACTCCGTTGAATAATTAATACGTTAGACGTATGTATGTATAGTTTGGGTCTTTTCTTTTACCCATTGGGCTGACCACATTACCGGCCCCGCCATCAGTTATGTTGTCTGCAAAGAATGTCCTAATTGTATCAATTACTTCTCGTTCAACTGACAGTTTAAGTGGAAATAGATCGATGCACATCAAACGAACACAACCAGATACCTCTTTGATGTTTTGTCAATTTGTTTCGGCAGGGAAGCGTACTATATCTGTACAAATAAAGATTCGCGTTGCTGTCTGGGGGCGTTAACGTAATTTCCTATAAGCTGCCGGGAGCTGAGCCCGAGCCAACATATCACGTCTATTGGAACATACTGTTGTATATACGATCGTGAAATTAATATATTTATCCTATATGTGACTCTTGAAAGACAACTCTTTCACTTTCAATCAAACCAAAACCGTTAAGATCAACTCAATGTTATAAATAAAAATTAAGTCATATTTTGCTTGAATATGTCACTTGTATGTATTAATAAAGAATTTCATAAAAATTAAAAACCGATAACACTCAATTCCTCCATAAATAAGAGCATTAAGTGTCCCAAAAATACGGCAGATTGCCTTCGAGTTTATTTACCCGTAATAAACTCGAAGATTCCGAAAATGGTATTGAATTCAATATTTTTCCGCTACCCAAAGTGTACCGATTATCCTTGCGAGACAAATTGATTGAATTGTTTAAGTGTGTAAAGTAAGCAAATCAACGGGAATTAGCGGTTCACATCTGATCAATTAAGCGAGTTAAATGTAAAGTGCCGCCTCACCCTGCCCCAGCGACGTGTTGTCAGCTCGCACCCGTCACGGGACGGGACAGACATCGCCCAATTAGGACGCGGCCCATTCAAGCAAGCCACACCGATACCAAACGTCTTTAAAATCTATTAAGTATCGGTGTTCAATCGCTTTTATCAAGTGATTTATTACCACACACGATGATGTCCTTTTAAGTTCAATTCGTACAAAATTGAGACGTTGGAAAATAGCAGTAAAATCAGCTACAACCATTTTAGAAAACCACATCGCAGTATTTGCTTTTGGTTAATTAGATAACAGTATGTAGATGTCACTTTCACATGGATTTCTGCAATAGAAAAGTAACTTAGTTCACTGTTCAATCGACAGTCAAGACTGCTTCGTTGGCTGAGTGGTCGTAAGTGCACGGAGTCTGGAATTGTACCCGGTATATGGCAATAGGCTCACCCCCTATTACATGGGATTCATAACATAAATTGTGAAAGGGAGTGTTACATTGTACAGCGGCATTAAGTGCCGTAATATGCACCTCTGCCTTCGGGGATAAAGGGCGTGATGTTATGTAAAATTTTCTACAATCCGTAAAGTTGTAAAAATATATTCCATGAGAGTGAGGCGTAACACTGAATGTCATAATGTTTGCTGCTAAGGTCCCTTTCAGTGAGACGATATTTGAGCCCGATTCCTTTACAATAGTTATTTTGCAACGACAACCTTCTGTTCAAACTGCTGTAGGGCGTGACGTAACAAACACTCAGATTTCGCTATAGGTATGTGAACGCATTGAGCAAGTTCTACCTATTAAAGAAGTTTTGGCAATTTGCTCATCGAGTCAATAGTGTCGTAATTCTTTTAACGAGATATTATGTATATTCGCGACCAGTGGAACATCCGGCTTTGTTCAAACACACTATGTACGTCCCCGTGTTAGGTTACTTTCTCCGCTTGCTCTCTATGGTCACGTGTGCCGGAAAATATTGAGTAGTTGCAATCGTGACTGGTACCAGTAATGGCGAGAGCTCGCGAGAAGCGGCAGTTTCCTCTCTCCCTGATAACTGCCAGCACTCCGGACCAGCAGTTAGTCTCTCACATTCAGGGGACAACGTCCTATATTTATCGAGGCCAGCGCACTTATTTTCAAGTTGATTTCATTCCGCCATTCACTTCTGCCATGCAATTAAATCGTAAACTTAATTCGACGGTAGTATTCATGAAAATTGGATCGAAGTTTTATCTGAATCTTAGACGGTTAACTTTGGGAAAATCCGAATATTGCGGCCATCCACAACATCGTAACAATATTTCTGAAGTACTGGCGCAGTAACGAGTTCATACTTCCGAGGGCACCCATCCCATTAAACATTTCGTGTAATTTAGAAGGATTATGTGATAAAGTTTTCAAGCGTTCAAGTGAAGCTCGAACTGGCAAGTACGAGTATAAATCAAAGTTATTTGACAAGCGAGATTCTCCAATAAAATGGACATTTTCCTTTCTGCCAGCTTTTCGGAACGCGAACAATGTTATCATGAAACTTTCTCAGTACGATCTTGTGTTTGTATTGCGAACCAATGTAATTAATTTGAAAAAAGCTTGCGTGTATTCCACTATTGTAAGATATACATTGCACGCGGGACGATTCAAAGATACTGTTTTATTTCCAAGTAAATACGAATAGGAGCGGCAAGAAATACACAATAAAGTATAATCAATGAGTCAGAGATGTCGTCGCTATCGCGCGACCTCTAACTCATTTGATAAAACGGTGTAGTAAATCAAAGACCACAAAATCTACAAACAGATAGTTTTGCAACCTTTGAATGTTTACATCCAGCAATATTGGCTCGTCCGACCGGCTACGTACTACAACTGTAATAGAAAGAAAATCGGTATCTTGATTGAATTGTGGTCAGTAATAGCCGGCCATTTGTCTTCATTTTTGACCTCTGCCCAATGTAATGGGAGTTCACCTCTAATATAGTGCTGTTGTGTGGTTGTTCTGTAGTGTGCAGTTTAGATACCTACACATGTTCTGTGCGATGGTAGAGAATGATAGTGATTGTGATCGCACGGATGCCGTATTAATACTTGTCGATATCCGTGACTTGTACGGCGACCGGTAAGTGTTGCATCTTGCTTTATTTATTCAAAACGTCAAACTGACATTTGTTATTGTAACTGTCTAAAACAGAGACAAGCCCGTGATGTTGCGCACCTTAGCCCTGATGTTTACTTGAACGTAATATCTTCTATATATGTCTATATCAAAATTACTTATTTATACTCTACTAAAGTTTATATAGATGAAATCGTATCGTACAACTAATTTGCGTGTTCCTACACTTGGAGGGAAATACACATTCATTAAAAACTAGAGAAAAAATGAGTAATTAAAATAGTTGCTACATTAGTTAATAAATCGAAGTGCAGAGGTCGCACGCGACGCTCGCACGCCACATTACGTAAAGGACGATCGTAGATATAAGTACTACACACAAAAATATTTTTAAAATCGATATCGATTACATAATTGTCAATTTTTGCTGTTTGCTCGATTAGCTTATTTCCAATGATGGTGTTTTCAACATGTATGCTTATATTCTGCGGTAGTACGTTAATCATAATAATAGAATACAAGGGACCAATGTTTGAAAGTGTTGTTATCATTAAATTAGATTTGTTTGTCTTGTATTCAGGCGATCATTCTACCGCAAAAAACCTAAGATCAAAAATAATTCTTCAATTTTACGATTGTTCCCTACTTAGATTATAATATGTTTTATATGACTAATACCATTTACGTGGTGTAGTCCAGCTGTCAATACCAATCTGCTGCTTTCTCACAGCTGTTTGTTTACTGATCAAACCTGCTTAAGCTCACCATGCACGGCTGAGTTAGCGGCTTATGTCAATATTAGTCTATATCAATGTATCTCGACTAAAACAGATCATGATTGAGAACCCACAAGCCGGCGCTATGGGCGAAGCATAGACAAACGACATTAGGCTTGTTGTCTGTTCTGCATGCTAATGCAATAGGCATTGGTAAAGGGCATTCTAGTAGCCCTGTGGATCTGTGACCAGAATACTGCCACCATCACACATCAATATGGACGACTAGTCCCACATATTTGTTTCATCAACATTGTGTGTACTGACTTTAAAAACAGGGATTTTTCTTAAGTAAATATTACAACATCATTAAGTTAACATCCAAACCAAACCATTAAACAAATTATTCAAATATCCTTTTCCAAGCTAAAACTTGATTTTAATTTAATTATACCCATGACCCAAACAAAAACAATATCGAAACATTAATGTTAAAAGCTTTAACGTGTGTAATCTCAGATAGAAGTATCCATAAATAATTTAATGGTAATTCTAATTCAATGCGCGGATTAGATACATTTCACTTACAGACGTACGAACTCGCGTCAAAATTCCACATAAATAACTCCGTGCTACCAATCTAGCCGTCGAAATCATCGTGTTACAAATTGCCACCTGATGTCTGTCATCGGCCTCACACAAAAGCATACAAACAAATTGTAAAACCAATTTTGGCATTTCATTCATCAAAACTTCGTTTGTACTTTGTGACTGGGCAATTACGTAGCAACAATCATTCTGCCACATCGCAATCTCATTTTGATGAGGCCGTGCTATCCTGCTATCCATAATATTATTTAGCGTCATCAATAGTATCCCGATAGATAAAGAGGTTATTGCATAGACTCAGTCTATTCATTGAACGATGTAATAATAAATGTCGTAATAAGATTGTCGATTTTTCAAAACTCTCTAAGGGCTGATTCCGTGCAAACATCTCGTCCTCCGTGTCGTTTCCGTGTCTCAGAAAATTTACGAATACTACCGCGTAGCTACTTCGTTATTTGTCCGGACATAAATTACCAACAAATGGACGCCGGCACCGATTCCACTTAAACGAAATCGAAATAAATGGAGCCGCTATAATTTTATCACTCATTAATATTGAGACGCATTAAAAATATATTTTAGAATCTGAATCCGCTACGTTACACACTTACATACTTTATTCATGATCAATTACAAATGTTTATTGTGAATCAGATTTAAGGGAAGTGATATTTGAACTTCTTAACAATCGATTTTATTAATGTAGATTAATTGCCAAGTATCAGTAAAACGGCAAACGGTGCGGGTAAATTAAAATTAATGGAGGCTGCAAAGTGGTTTGATCTGTCTATTTGTAATTCAGATGGTAGTGTCGTCCGTTAGTCTTGATGAGGCTAAATATAATTACCGTTGTCATTTCCAGCGCCACTATATTTCATCAACAAACGACACGCCCGCTTCGTTTATAAGAACTATATAAAAGAAATACAAGAAAGAAATATAAAACTAGTTAGCTTTATAAATCCAAATATAATGTCTTTAGACCTATACTGTGTAGTGTGAAATATTTCATTTTCACAGATACTGTTACGTGTCTAGTTTTATATGCACTATATTAAATTTAGTTAAAATGGTATTTTAATTAATCATCTCAAATACAAACTCTTGAAGGACGCACCTTCAAACATTGCCGGGACGTAACGTGTTACGAAAGTAGTGAGGTTATGAAGCACGTGGCCTTCGAAGTCTGGAATTAATTCATTTATAGCGACTCCGCAATCGATTAGGGCGCAGACAGACAAAGCTCAACTCAAATAAATAATTCAATGGCAACGAGAGTGGCACCTTCCGACGCTCTCGCAGGCGATCCCTTGAAAAAGTTGATAATGTGATTTAGAGAGGCACGCCAAGTGGAGCGGCTCCTGCGAATAATTTGTGTGGCGACGCGCCCTCGCATACTGAGCACCCTGCAGCACCCTGCCTCTCCGCCACCGCTCGTACACGCCGCTCTGCATTTACAAGGATCCGCGGCACGTGCACCGCGCACTGTAATTACGATCCAAGCACTAACAAACTTTTGTCTTTGTTCCAGGTGTGTGGAATTATCAACGTAGTAGTGCAAATAAAATGTGCGACAAGTGCAAACGGGAAAAGACCTCTGTGTATGTAGCTAGTGTATCGCGAGGGACGTGTGAGGGTAACAGTTAAGAGCATGTGCGCGTGAATTTGACCACGACGTCGGACTATTCGGAGTGGGAAGCGCTGGCGACCGCGGCCAGCGATGGTATGGACGTTGTATTCGGGAATGAGACGGACTGGGGGTGGAACGCGACCGACGAGGGGGAGAGTACGAACCTCTACAACTACTGGGCATGGAGCATCGTGGACGGCTCGCTGATGCTGCTCATCGTGAGTGGGAACACACTGACGATCCTGGCGGTGACGCTGAGTCGGCGGCTGTCGTCCCTCGTGTCCAACCAGTTCGTGCTCAACCTAGCCATATCCGACCTGATGGTGGGCCTCACGTTGCCTTACCATTTGATCTTCTACTTAAACGATGACTTTGGCACTATCAAATGGTCGTGTCTGATGCGCTTTATTCTCATAATCTTAGCGTGTCTCGCGTCCATTTATAACATTATAGCGATAGCTGTTGACAGGTCAGTATAACGACACATTTTATTCCTTCACGTTTCTATTCTAATTATTTATAGTAACAATTTTAGTAATATTGTCACACCGCTTGCGCCGCGTGGTTTAATTGATATAACTAAAACATTACCTACATTGGAATCGACTTCGGTTGTAACATTTACTAAAACAATATTGTTATGAATTGCAGGTACATAGCGATAGTGCACCCGCTCCACTACAGCCGGTACATGACCAAGCTGGTGACGCGGCTGCTGATGAGCGCCACCTGGTCGGTCGCCGTCTGCATCAGCTGCATACCCGTCTTCTGGAACGACTGGCACGAAGGAGTTGCTTGCGAGATGAATATGGTCTGTACTTTTACGCTTAAAACTAATAATTTGAAGATATTTCACAAATTTGAGCTTCGTACGAATAGTAAGATTTACGACTGTGTCATAACATTCAATAGCGTCTTAGATGTTTGAGAGCACCATAAAATACTTATAATATCGCTTGTATATATCGCTTGTATATATCGCTTGCATTAGAACACAAAACTGTTTACGTACAACGCGAATAAGAGGTACAAAATGACAACTATCTGCGGAGACTGAAAAACTCGTGTCAACACATTCCGTAATACAAAACAGCACTTATCTGAAATTCATAGTAAAACGAAATGGGATTCTCGAGGCACGTTCTGCAAACCTATTACATAATACGCAGATAAAAGCAGTTTTAGGAAGAGTATATCTATTGATACTTAGGCATTTTTACCGTTTGTAGGTATTTCTAAACACGATCTTTCAAAACAAATAGGTGGTGGTATCTTATGTTAACAGAAATGTTGTGGATTCCAGGTGGTGCCCAAGAAATACACGACGAGTATACTGGCGCCGATGTTCTCCTTGATCTGGTTGGTGATGTTCATCCTGTACTGGCGGATATGGCGCGAGGCCACCTGCCATGCACGCCGCATGAGGGCCAACACCTGCTGCCCAACGGGGGCTAACGATTGGAAGAGCATACAGGTAACCAGCCATTCTTATGTATGTCAGTTGCTAATTGGGGATTTTCACTTAAGACCGTTTTTAAATATAAAAGTGATCAACAAAATAACACATGACATGATTTGTTTTTAAAGAGTAACAATTTAGTAATTTATTCGATCTTCTGCATAAGAATCTACTTTTTGGAGCGAGTAGCCGAATGACTGAATACTTAGTGGATAAATGTATTTTGGGTGTTTAATTTCACGTACCTATATAAATATAATTGCTTGGTATATGTATTCAATTGTAACGTATTTTCAGTACATCGCGTGTTGGTGAGAATTCAAATGGAATTTAACATGTCCGCAGGTGGTGCTCCTGGTCCTCGGCTCGTTCTCAATATGTTGGATGCCGTTCGTGGTGGTGGCGTGTGCCCAGACGTTCCCTATCATGCCGCTGCACAATCACATAGCGTACCGCGTCACCTCGTCGCTGGCTATGTCAAATTCCGGCATAAATCCACTCATCTACGCGTGGAAAAACGCAGGTTTTCGTGCCGCTTTTGCAAAGTTACTACGATGCAAGAGACCGGACACGTCTGAATACAGAGGCTCCCCGGCCCCAGAGAGGAAGCGAGGCTCGGTGGCGCTGAGAGAGGGGTCTATCACCCGGTCGAGCGCGCCGAGTGCGCTGTCCAGCCTGGGCGGGCGGCCGGCGCGGCTGCTGTACATGGAGCACGAGGCGGACACGGCGCGCTGCCGTATCATCGAGAACGCGGGCTACGTGGAGGCGGAGCGCGGCGACACCAACCCCTCGTACGCGCCCGACGGGCCCACGCCGGTGCACCGGCCCGCCACGCGCGCGGACTTAGTGTAGTGTACAAACGATCATTAGACGTTTTGTGGGAAACGTGAAACGCTTCTAGTATTTAACGTTGTTAGTGACTGTAGGTACCCCCTTCGCATTTAGGTACCTGTTCGGATCTACGCTCAAGTTTTTAAAAGCTTTATTGTTGAATTTTTATTGAGAGATTATAATGAGTTCCCTGCCATAACGATGTTTTTAAAAGAGGTTCTCTATCAAACAAAGATGTTTAAATTATATAAAACTAAATTAAAAGATGTTCTATGTATTATTAAAGTATGTAAATAAATGCAGTATTTATTTCTTTTATATCCTAGAATACTTACATCACTTTTGTTTAGGCATTCAGGAAAAACTTAGAACGCCATCTATGGCAAAACAGTGGAATTAAATGTAAACCCAACTAAAACATTGAGGAAAACGTCCACCAGATGGCACTAAATAAAACAATGCCGGTTCCTAAACCGAAATTAAAGATTACCAAAACACTAATCCAGAATCAATTTCACAGTAATTAAAGCTATGAAAACCATTAAATTAAGGAATATGGTAGTAAAAGTTTTGAATATACCTAGTAAAAAATAATAGCTGATAACATGGACAGCGCGTAGGTACTCCTGTTTATTCCTACTTTGATTTGTACAATCAAAGGAGGTCAGCTACGTCGGGTGATAATACTTAACGAACAACTTCACATAATATCAAGTACCACATTAGGTACACATATTTTATATTTCTATTTAAAACTGAATTTAAATAATCTGCGCACCATTAAAATAACAAGTGTAACGAACCAGTTAGGTTGATTGATTTCTAACAGTTTATGAAAGTAAAATTCAAGTGTAAGTATAAAACCGCCTTATCAATGCCTGTATGAATTTATGAAACGATTTATTACAAAATTAAGTTTAGTATTGAAAGTATCGTCATAATATTCAATTAACTCGTCGAGTACCGGTTTTGCAGACACAATTATAGAACAATAGGTTGCGGTCACCGGTGACCGCTTGGTATTTGACAGTTTAATATTCTATTCGGTTGCCAACAGCACTGACCACGACGGTCCGAATGTAACTTTTAGATGCAACATTTCAACCTTGGTGACTGGGACAACAAGAATGGTTATTAGATAAATAATTATGGAGTGAATATTATTTAAAAACACTTGCGGCTAACTCAGCTCATTTGTCGACTAAGAAATTAGCTTTGTGAAACTCGTTTGATCATGATGTAGTCATTAACTGAAGTTTGCAAAGGTTCTCATGTATGGTAAAATAATATATTCGTTCTTGAAGCTCTCCAAATTATACACATTGATTGTAATGTAGAAATAATAAAACACTCACCTCGACTCCAGTCACGCCGAGCGCAGTCACCAAGTTGGGTGTCATCCTGAACGGCACCTTCTCTGGCACCCGCAGCGTCTTGCCCTTCTCGAAGCACACGTTATAGTCTATATGCACCACTTCACCAGATGTAAGATCCACTAAGACATTGTCCAAGTGCCTGTCACCTAGTCCGATTATATAGCCTATCATACTCATCACGGCCACTGAGTAGCTGTACCGACGCGTCATCTGCCACCACTGCTCAGGGCTCACACTGCTGCACCACAGCTCTCTCCAGAGCAAGTCGCGCGGAGTCTCCGTCGACAACTCATGCAGAACTTGCTTCAATATCGATACAGGCCATTCCTTTCTGTTCTCCGTTGAAACGCCGGCTTCTTTCAAAAGAGGATTTAGCTTGTTGTAGAACAACTCCGATGGTCGTAACACATTCACAGTCTTGTTGGTTTTAGCCGATAAAATAGCAGCTTCTCGGTTTTGCCAACGTTTGTACAACGCAAACAAAGGTGTCACATTATCTACCCAACTAATCAGTCCCGATCGAGGACCCAAAGGTATCACAGAGTAATGGCGCGCTCTATAAGTTTGGTTGTCATTGTTTTCAGAATCCCTGGCCATCATTGTGTTAGTTATAGACAGCAACTGCATGATTCTCTCGTCTAGATGCAAGTCTTCTAATCCTTTGAACAAATACGTATAAGCTTTCCCGTCCGACCCGTAAAATACAAGTTTTTTTGGCCGAGTCTTGGTAGGCAATATAGCTACATTATTTTCCACTGCCTTAATCGTAACTCTTACGGCTCGCTGGTTAGTATGTACTCCTGGCATAGTGATCACGGTATTTTTAAGTTCTGCTAAAACAGGACTAATGTCGGACATTTTCAAAATGTATGAAGTTCTTTTATTTACTTTTTGCTGCAATTTTATTTGCAGTTGTTTCAATGGGGCCCATGAGTCCTGTGGTTTATCTGGATTCGCAGGGTTCTTTAGTTTCTCTATGACATCCGCGATAAGAGACTGGAATTTATTTTGGAATGACACTTCGTGTGGTGTCTCAGGGTTTGCTGAAGTCACTTGATACAATTGCTCCAACACACAAACAATTGGTTCAAATATAATGCGATGTTTCTCTTTGATAAGTTTGTCTTTATCTTCGGCAGACAAATGGGGATTATTTTTTACTTTCGCTACTTCCATTTCTAACTGTGAAAGTCGCTTTGTAAATTCAGAGTGATGTTGAACTAAAGTACCCAGACATAACTCATCCCAAAGCAAATTAATTCTCTGTAACTCTTTGACTAATAGCTTCACCTGCAAAATAGTTTTTGGTGCTTGTTTAGCGAGTGTTTCTACCATATCCAAGAAACAAGAATTGAGTTCATTATTGATTACTTTATCGCTGAGAGAGTCTTCTACATCAAGATTATCTTCACCACTGCTTGCGACGTTACACAAATAGGATCTTGCAACATTCAATTCTATTAAATCTTTCTGTTCGTTTTCCACTGCGCCAACAACTGCTGGGAAAGTGATTAAATGCGGAGTGTCTTCTGCCAATCTACACAACAAGTCAGATACACATTTTCTCACGTAAGTTTCCGGGTGGTTGAGACGGGAGAACAATTGGGGAATAATTACTTTCCAAGGTTGAGTAGGGGTGTTTGCTAATCCAGATTCCAAAACTGTCTGCAATTCCATAGCATGTTTTACGATCAAACGTAACAGTCTCAATGTGGCATTAACAACCGCGTTTTCTCCACTATGGTTTATATAATCTGATGCACAAATAAGCTGTAGAAATTTAAAGTAAGCATCCGCCGAGAGTTCGAAATAGGAAAACACTCGCTTTTGCGCTTGGCGCCAAATGTCCACTAACAATGCAAGGTGTTCAGGGAAAGCATTACTTAAAGACGGTACAGTCCGAAGCTGACTCTCTATCATTTCAGAAGTGTTGATTTCGTTCCAATCAATATCTTCGTCATCACACGTAGCTTTTGTTTTAGACAATATTTCACAAACTGCTTCAAAGTCTTGAGGTGCACATCCAATCATTACGCTCTCTATCTGTAATTTATCATTTTCTGTCAACTGTTCTCGAGTCTTAGAACTGAATTCAACCATTTTTCGACCCCACCTAAAGCACCAAGCAGCAAAATTAGCCCAAGCTTTAGCCAACCCCGGGCATTGATTCACTCCAAATTGTAGTAATTTACCAACAGCTGAGTCCGACACGGGAATAACATTCTCCGATATGTTGTTATCCACCAGTCCAATTTCTGGTAGAACTGATACTAGTTTGAGCAAGGGTGAGTCCACGTCCAAGATATTCTCAGTCTCGCTTTGGACCCATTTGGACAAAGTGAGTAGCAGTCTAGTCCCTTTTTCTCTTAATTCATAATTTTGTTCACCCATTGCTAATCTCTGAGAAAATCCATACGAAATGCTCGCACAAAGATTGACAGCGCGAATTTTAGTTTCTTCTTTTACATAAGTCAATTTACAGAGCTCGGCCAACGCAGTAGCGTTGTTAAGAGTCCAAATTTCAAGGTCGTAAGTATTAGTAGATAAAAGAAGTGCTTCACTCAAATCATCCAAGTTATTAACTTGTCCCAAACACATTTGGAACGCTGAATTTTGTTTAAAATGATTTAAGAGTTCTCTCTTGGCCATGACTAGGTTTGCGTTTTTCCTTGCACTTTTGATTACATCTAACCGAAGGCATTCTGCATAGTATACATTTTCTTCAGTCATATTTAGTTTAGTGAAATATTGGTTCCACCATAATATTCTGCTTAAGTTTTTAAATTCAGTCCCGTACTTATACTCCTTTACTGTTGATGGTTTAAAAGGATTAGTAATAAGCTTTCCACTCTTTATAATGTTGGTTAACCCATGATTAGCTAACTGCAACACTGCAACCTCTTTTAAGAAATGTACGGCATTCGTTCTGGAGAATTCTTCTGCTTGTGATTTGAGCAACAAGTCACATTGTTTTAACAAATCTTCATATTTATCGTTATAATCACTGTTGTACATCTTGACTGCAGTGCACATAAGAGTCAATTCAATTTTATTCAAGAGACCTTGATAGGAGCACACATTCTTGGGAATTTCATTAGCTTCACTATCAAGTATATCCCAGTTAACGAGTTCCTCCGGAATTTCTGTAGTATCTTCGAAAAACTTCAACGTCGATAAATAGCTCCACTGTGAACTGTTTGCGTTAAATTGATCTTTGTCTATCCATTCCTGCATATCTTCCCAGCTTTGTATATGCTTATAACTTTCCATGATTTGCTCGTCGATGAATCTGTTACTCCTTGTATCTACTTGCGACGCTATTTCAAATTCCTTCGATTCTTCCTGAGGACTTAAACTGTTTATTTTCTTATAGTACTCTATGGCTGATTCATGTTTAGAATTGGCCTGTTCGGCAGCTCCTTTAAGCCAGAACAGCTTCTTATCAAAGTTTTGTTTAATCCACACATATAAACCAAGTAGCACTTCTGGCTCTTCGATTTTGATGAGAGCCCTGGCAATGCTTATTGTAATCGCTTCCACGTCTATATTGGTATTAGAATTAGCGGCTGTTTGCAGTATGAGGGAAGCATGGTAGATGGCAGCACCAAAATGTCCTGCGTGTAAGCTGACGGCAAGCGCAGCGGGACGAACTCTTGTCAACCACTCCCGACAAGTAGGCCAGTTTGTATGGAAAAATGTTTTCACAGGCTTAGTAACAGCTGGCAACACTATAGCAGTGCCCTCAGCAGCATTGTAAATGTACTTCTCTAAGAACATCATAAACTCAGTTATCCAACGTGTCCTTGTTTGTTCTAACGTTACAACTTCCACAACATTTTGTTGATCATTACCTAAATATTTAGTGTCATGAGAAGATATCTCTCTGGCTATTCCTTTTAACGCTCCCTCAATCCTCATAAATGTCTCGTGTGGTTTGCCGAGAATGGTTCGTAACTTTAAAGACACACAAGTTTGAGCCAGTTCTGAAAGTGCCCAACCTACGCAAATAGATGAAAAACTCATAGCACATTGTCGAAAGAACAATATATTATTTTCATCAATATCGGGAGTTTGCAAAGGCCACGACGTTAAAAATGCATCTACTAAAGCTTTTTTATCCTCCAGTGTAGCCTGAAGAAGGCAGTTCATAATTAATTTAAAATGCTGGTTTGAAAGTACAGTAAAAGATCCATGCATAAGATACTCTTTAAAAGAATTGGCCTTGGTGTCACTATTGAGTATGTTCAAACTCATCTTCCTTGCAGTGAACACTTTAACTAACTGTTTGTCAAGCTCCAACTGTACTATGTCCCAAGGTAAGTCAAATAGTACATCTTTACAAACATTGGACAATGTTTTATTTTGATTGTCAATGTGTAATATGCAAAGTACTGCTATTGTTTTCAATACCATAACATTCCAAGTGAGAGTTTTGTTTTTCAGTAAATGTTGTGAATTTTTCATTACAAGCAAAACAATTTCTTCATCGAAATTATATGCCAATGATAACATATTAGTTGTTAGAACAAAGAACCCTTTCGACATGCTGACAATGGGTAAATATTTGTCTAACTGGCAAAATATATCAGATACCCAATTGAGAATCAATATTAAAGTTTCTTTAGGGGCTTCTTCATCCAATACCATGCTTAGTGTATTGAGGATAACGGCTAAATGACCAGAAGTGGGGCTGGTGCTGGATACATCACCAAGACTCAGATTAGATAGCCCAAATATATCATTAGCTCGTTGCTGGGTATTCGTAACCAAATCACTAGAAGCAATAAAATGATTATTTTTTTTACAGTGTGAATGAAGCAAGTACAGTACAGAATATTGAAGGGCTGGCTTTTCCTTAATTAGTTTTTCAGCATGAGGGCACATTTTTATGGCTAATAGTTCCAGAATGCTAGGCTGTAAAGCCCACATACCAATTATAGAATTACTTGCATTTGCCAGTTCTGACAGACATTGTAGATAAAATATTACATTTTTCTCTGCATTATCTTTATCAACTTCTTCTTGGTAATCTGGTTTTATTATTTGTATGTCGGGTATTATAACTGAATAGGAATTTTGAATATCTGTCAAAACATATTTGTATGTTTCTTGCAAAAGTGGAATGTTTTTCAAATTTAGTAAATTACTGTATACTGACAAAACACTGTTTAAAATGGGAGAACTGTCTGAGTAACGCAGTGGCCGTAAAAAGGATTCAGGACCAATTGCTTGTGAAATGAACTCAATCGGCAAGTTAGATGCTATTTCCTTAATTACGGTGGATATTAAGTCAATAATGCTGAGACTAACACTTTCTTCCCCTTGCAAAAAGTTGGCCATCTCCTTAGATATTAAGGCAAACAGTGCTGGAGAACAAGATGAAGACTTCGATTGTAAATATTTCAAGAGTAAAGCAATGCATTCATTACCTGCCAATATAAGGTCAGCTTCAGCATCATTCTTCATAGTTTTTGACAAAACTTGTAATATTTTTGTAAATGCTTCACTAAGAAATGACCAAGAAACAATCTGTGATACTGTAGGACTCAACAGAGTTCCTAAACTCTTAACGACAGTATTGAAAACATTCAAGAAAGATGTTATCTTAAGCATGCAGTCTTCTGGAGTGGTGACATCATTTTGCTTTTCAGTGCGATTTGGTTCCATTTCTGCAGAATATGCTACCATATCTTCCACAAACTGATTTAAGAGGTTGACAGAGAATCCTACATCAGCCTGCCAGTGCCGACTCAGTTTAAGCAACGACTGTAGGGCAAAATCTTTAATTTTCTTGGGCTGAGCATTATCCACATGCCACCCAACAAGTATGTCTACAGTGTCCACAAAATGGTTTGCAAAATGTTCTGGATATGAATTTGACAGGATAATCATGGCATTTATAGCACACATAAACACATCAGCTGAGTCAGTACCTTCAATGATAGTCTGGAGCCTGTCTAAAGTGACTTCAGCAAAGTCAGCTAAATGTGGAGTTTGATAATCAAGTTGAAATGTCTCTGTAAATGAGAGTGTTAGGTAATGTTTGATTGAAGTGTTATGGACTCCATAACTAGCAGCAATCCATTCCAAATGTTTCCTAAAATCAGGTCCCATGACATAACCAATCCTTCCAAGAACTACAGATGCACCTTCTTTTGTCTCAGGGCCAGGAGCATCATATAGTACATCCAATAGTGATTCAACTAATATATCATATGAACGTCGTATGTATCGAGAATTTTCAGGCAGCATGACGGCATCCTGAAGTTTGCTGCATATTACTAGTGATTTTTCCATGTCTACTTCAGCACATAGGCGACGCAGCAGCTTAGAGATGCGAGGGTCCTCGGGCAGATTGACGACCAATTCTGGACGTTCATAGAACTTGTTGCTGCTATTTCCCTGGGCCCAAGTGTCATTCGAGGACTGGTTTAGCGTTTCGTGATATTTGAATGAGTTGTCTAGGGGCTCACGATCTCCACGGGGCGGGAATCCGCCTCGACCTCGTCCTCCTCGTCCGCCGCCTCGAGACGGCCTGAACTCGGTGACACGACCTCGGGACCGATACCTGCCATCTCTGGACGGTCCCCCAAATGACGAGGATGCATCGTACGCACCAACATAACCTCTGACCTTATCGTCCGTGTTTTCTTGTACGATTTCATCCCTATCCGGAGCGTCCACACACTCCGCTCCCTTGGGGGCTTTTACTTTACTGTTTGCAGTGGTGGATATCATCACTAGAAATTTTATCAAACACGTAATTATCACCACACATGGCCGTAAAATTAAAGCAAAATACGGACAAAACAGACACTCTTCGCCAACAGTCACTGTATATCATAGACAAGATATAGTTGACCTGTCAGACTGTCACGTCTGTCAATAAGATTTGTCAAGTAGACGGAATAAAAAAACGCGACGATGTAATGTCAGTTTGTTTTTAAACGAAGAATGTAAACAGTAAGATTAAACCTGAGTAATCCGATTTACTACAGATTTATTGATATATTTCAATATTATATAAGATTTGAAGTGCTTTTTAAATTGTATATTCGGTAACATTGTTCCGAAAATGAAATCTTAAATCCGTTTATTCTTGGACTATTCAGTATGTTTTAGTAAGTGTTGAACGTCTGTCCATGTCATAGACTACACAAAGTTTAGAAAGGTAAATATCATTAGTGTCACTATAACCTCACTCAAAAACATGTTGATTTGTGTTTATCAAAAAGTATAACAGGTTTAAATTATTAATAAAAGAAATATTAATGAAAATGATATCTGCCATGACGAATACCACTGATACTAAGGTTAAAAAAGTAAAGACTCCAAAACGCACTCAAGATTTTAAAGGTATGTATATTTGTTGCAATGCATGGTAATAAATTTACTTTTAGATGATTTTTCTCATTAAAATTCTGTTCTATATTCCAGCTGTACAGCTTAAATTAAATGAAGATTCGGTGGCACCACACACTATATATCTTAAAGAACATGTAGTTAGAGAACATACTGCAGACAAGCCACAGGGTCGTACTTTGTTGGTAGTGAATGTGCCGCCATACGCAGATGAAAAAGGTATTACCAATGCATTTCGCGAAGCTGGCACCGTACAATCAGTTCAACTTTGTTTAAAACCTTCAACGGCTGAAGTAAAATTAATCAAGAAATTCTTGCCGGATCCAAGCATAACCACATTTAAAGCAGCTTACATAGTTTTCAAGAAGGTTGCAGAGTTAGATAAAGCATTAAAATTAACCGAACTTCTGCCAATGAACTCAGAGGATCATCAAATTACAACAGGAATTAAAAAATGGATTGAGGAATACAACAACACCATTGTGTTGCCAAAAGTACTTAAAGAAAATGTGGAAACATTCATGAAGCAGTTTGATGAAACTACAAAGAAAGCAGATAAGAAGGAGAAGGAATTAGAACAAGAGGATGACGAGGGATGGGTGACAGTCACTAAGAGAGGGAAGGTGCAGAGTTTTGCACGATCAGAAAAAGTGGAGAATAAAATAATGCAGAAAGAAGAGAAAAATAAAAAACGGAAAGAGCTGAAGAACTTCTACACTTTCCAAATACGAGAATCAAAAATGAAGCACATTGTATCACTTAGGCAAAAGTTTGAGGAAGACAAGAGGAAAATAGCACAGATCAAACAGAGTCGAAGGTTTAGACCATTTTAGAATAAATAAAACTATAAGTTGTAATTATCACAGATTTTTATTTATATTATTTACACTGTGTTTAAGTAATTATTATGTGCTATATTCTAATAATGGACTGTACATTACACTCTTGCAGTTAATAATAACAAAGATTTTAAAGTTGCAACCATCACAGATGGTAATTTGTGCAACAAGTGCTGAAAGTAAAATTTCAATGTAAGACATTACCAGCTGAATGATTAACCACAGACTGGCGAAAGAACTTGTCAAATTGTTTGCTGATGTGTTTTAATGATAATCCGCAGCAGCCTGTTTTCAGGCAGCGTGTCTAATGCTGCAAGGAGGTTGCTAATATTGCCATACACGCAGCCATTAGCTAGTGCCACTTGCACTGACTGCCCTATCCTGTCCAGACAATCCTGTAACAAATATATAATATGTTTTTAAATGTGAACTTTGACAATAAATAATTACTGAATAAATATTAATTATCACATTAGTATTAGTATTGGGTAAATATAGGTAACATAACAGTAAATTGCACAATAATAATAATTCTGTCTGGGGTCATGTGTATTTAAAATTGTATGTTTGTACCATATTTACAAGACAGGTGTGTGACAGTGATGAGCGCAGACAGAACAAAAAAATATTAACCTGTAACTTATGATCATTTTGTATCTTTCCACCTCTCTTCAGCACATTGTGTGCATATGACTGGACAACTGGCGCGAGCGCAGCCAGGTGCTGTGCATTCACAGCTGTGGGAGGCCCGTGCGTGCGTCTTCCGGCGCGCAAACTATGCAGTACGCCCAGGTGCAGCTTTATATAAAACTCACTCTCTGTCAGAGGCTTACTTGTCACTGTTTTTATCAAGGATCTGTCACTTTCACCCTCCAGTTTAATTTTCTTAAAAGGTACAGGTACTTCCACCATTTCTGTGTCTGTAAGAAATAAACAGGTTAACTAACTAAAATTAACATTTTATCTATGTCAAACTTATCAAAATAACAAGTTACTGAATACTTTGAAAGTGAAACAAACATTGTGTGTTAGTGCTTACCATCATCAACAATATAAAGGGGAGCCAATGCACACCAATGTATGAGACCAGCTAGGGGAGTAACTGCAGCCATAGGAATGGATCCACTGGGGAGTGCTGCTGGATTCAACTGAGCAGACATGCATAGTGTAGGGTTTGAATAAACCTGCAATAAACATACATAATATATTTAACCAAATTATACAACATTCTTCTTATCCCATGAAGAATAATCAAAATTGTAGAAAGAAATACAATAACTAACATTTTACTCGACAATAGGCATGGCGACTATTTTTTAATTTTTTGTCCGTCTTTTAGATATTTTAAAAATCTTCGATACGTATGTTTTCTTTTTTCTCGTATCCAAAAAAACATGTAGATATTTTGAGTTAAAATGACGCGTGACGTCACAATTAGGTACGATTTCTCCGTGTGACGTCAACACCCCCCACTCCCTAACTTTAATGCGGAATAACTACATATTCTTCTGTTAATTTGATAAAACAAAAAATACGTGTCTGATATTTTCGTGCGATCTTAATGACGGACTAATTACTTTTTTGATTTTTTTACCCTGTCGACACGCCTATTCAATTTAGATACCTGAAGTATTACATACTCTCATTTTCAATACATTTAAATTACTAACCCAAGCAGTTATGACCTCTAACAAGTTCTTAGGAGGCAACTTATTATCATTTGTTCCTTGAGCATCATGCATGTACAGCTCAGTTACAGCGGTAATGAAGTTAGACACAAACTGTGGAGCTGTATTCGCTAGCGACTTCAGAGCCAACTGATTTGAAGTGTTCAGATAGAAATGGTCTCTGATGACATTCTCAACCAGTTGTAAGGACTGTGATGATGAACAGCCCATTTGTTGCAGCCAAACTCCAACTGCAAGTAGCACCTGCAAAACAACAATATTATGTATCATGATGAAAAATAGCAGTTCTCATTAAAATTAGAATTATGTATGTTGCATTTCTTAACTCGTCGAGTACCGGTTTTGTGGACACAATTATAGAACAATATGTTGCGGTCACCGGTGACCGCTTGGTGTTTGACAGTTTAAATGCAGTTCAATATTTCATTGGTTTACAGTAAAAAGTAACTAGAATTAAACTCACTGGAGTACTGGAAGCTGAAACAGCCATACTGGCAAGAATGCTAAGAATTTTCAACCTCCTTTGACTTTCCATGCCTCCAAACAGTGATAAGAAGATAGTATTCTTAGTGGTTTCATTAGTACAAGCCGACAAGTAGTCACATATTATATCTATAAGTTGTAAATCCTGTAATGGAGTCAAACCTCCACTTCTTCGCCCGCTGCGCCTGTCAGACTCGCAGAACACAAATTCTGATATTATATCCATTGCTATGTCCAACTGCTTATTTGAAGGAGCCGCCCGACCAACTAGTAGTTGTTCTGTAAAATAGTTATTTACTTAACCCCTTTATAAAAAACAAATGACAGATATTTTGTTAGGGTATTAAAAACCTGTAATTTTACCAAATTATATTATTATACAAAACCTAATAAGTAAAATAGCGCCTCTATCTATACACACTTACCAATTCTATTGAGGGCTTCCTTAGCACAAGCAGGAAATTCATATTTCCTTAGAGAATGTTTCAAATCTGATACAGACATCTTGTCAACAATGTATTTTTTTATGTTATCTTCCAAATTTTAACTTTTAGCTGTTATTATTAATTAAACATGTTACACAAAGTTTAGCAGAAGCTTCAAACGATTAATTTGAAAGTAGGTAGTAGTTTTTGACACACTGATTACTGTGATTTGGAACTGACTGTTGAGCTTGAGGTTGAGGTCTTCAGCAAAAGAGACAATTCAGTCAGTCAGTATTTTCAAAATAACTCTCAAAACACGATACTTCTCAATACGTGAACCTTCAAACCATTTATTAATTACCGTGGTAGGTTCTTTTAAAAATCTTATAACAACAATCGCAAGCAAAACATTGATCCACAGCCAACAATTCCCCTATACTTATTATACTCTTTGCAACAACCAATCAACCAACTATGAAGAGTGTAAAACTCCCCTCAAAGAGTAAAGAAACTATAATTCCCACTTCCCATAGAATTACACTCTTTGATGATTCTTTTAATTTCTTTTTCAATTTTATATGTCAAACAATTGTCAAAATCAAGATGCCATGCGCCCAAAGACTACAATACTATATCTGAGACGTATGCGCCCATAAATCTATGGGATGCCTCATGCCAAGTCTATTCAAACTATCCAAAGAGTATAATTAAGTAGGTATAGGAGTCTATCTCTTATTATAGTCGATGGCATGGCTTTCAGAAAATGTTTTCAAAAAGAAATTAATTGAACCAAACAATAATATTAAAAATTATTTTGTTCGTTCTTCTAAGACTAAGACAAAACTAAGAAATGTAAATATTTTTATCCATCTTGATGTTTTTCTTCTTGTTGGTAACCGAGGTTTCTTTGGTTGCTTGTTAGAATTATTTATTATGTAAAATATGTACAGATAATTTTAATAACTACATAAATATTTACAACTTAAAATTAACTACAACTAAACTATTAAATAAAACGAAACTATTAATTTATTAGATAGATGGACTTGACGTTTGACAGTTGACGTAGCATGATTAGAGTAACTTACGTACAGGTACCATCTTTGTCAGTTTGTCGGTGAATGTGAATATGCGGTGAATTCGTCAATCTTTGTTTGTATTTGCAGTTTGCACTGGTTTACAGTCTTCCGTTTAATAGAAATTGTTTTTGGATACAACATATACAACCACAATAAGATGGAAGTTATCGTTGCCAATGTTGATCATATTAAATTTGATATAGATTACGCGTTAGAAGAACAGTATGGAGCGCTACCTCTACCTTTCCCGGGAATGGACAGTAAGGTTTTTTGGCACCAAATATTTCAACTTTAATGTTATAACCCGTACTAACTATTGAAACAATTTACGATTTTCAGAGTCAACCGCGGCAGTATGTGAATTCTTCAGTCAACCTGGAGGTTGTGGAAATGGTCCTCAGTGTCCTTACAGACACGTCCGAGGAGATCGTACGGTCGTTTGCAAACATTGGTTGAGAGGTCTCTGTAAGAAAGGCGATCAATGTGAATTCCTTCACGAATATGACATGTCCAAGATGCCCGAATGTTATTTCTATGCCAGATTTAATGCTTGTCATAATAAAGAATGCCCATTCCTTCATATTGACCCTGAGAGTAAAATCAAGGATTGCCCATGGTATGTTTTAAAAAATTATAACCATAAGGTCTGAGTTACAAAAATTTAAGGAAATGTGAAATAAACTTTAACATATTTTTTAGGTATGACAGAGGGTTCTGTCGCCATGGACCACACTGCAGACATAGACATGTGCGACGTGTTTTATGCATGAACTATCTGGCTGGATTCTGTCCTGATGGCTCCACCTGCAAATACATGCACCCAAGGTTTGAGCTCCCAGCTCCTCCTGAGCAAACAAAAGATGCTAAAAGACTGCCCGTATGTCACTACTGCTCTGAAGTTGGCCATAAAGCTTCGTCTTGTAGTAAGATACCAGCAGAGGTTAGTAATTTAGTACTATATTCCCTTCATCATAATTTAATGCATGTTCATTTGTTTTCTAAATTAACATATACATTCTGTTTTTAGCAAAGAGAAGCAGCTTTAAGACAAGAAGAAGCAAGATACCGTGCACTAGGCTACATAAAACCAGCCAATGAGAATGAAGTGAATGAAATGAACAACCAAAGGATGCAGAGAATAGTTCACAAACCTCTGGAAGAAGTCACCTGCTTCAAATGTGGCACCAAGGGGCATTATGCTAACAAATGCCCTAAGGGCCACCTAGCATTCTTGTCCAGTCAAGCCAACCAAAACCAAAATGCAAACACATTTAAAAAACCAAACTAGTATAAATTTGTGAAGCCTTCGCGGAGGCTTCAGTGATGAACTATTGATATTTTAGAAATGTGGAAATGTTTAATGTACAGTGATACAAGTGATTCAAATTTTAGTGAAACCATATGAAAAAATTCATTTGAGTAATGTTTGACTTTGTTAATGCTCATAGTTATATATGAAATAATTAGAAATAACTGGTTCTATCTCTGTTGTGTAATATAATCAGCCTCTTTTTAAAGGAGGTGTCTGCCCATCTCCACATTCTACACTGTCTACAACAACTGAGTGAACAGATACTGATGGGAAATTGATATAGAATCTATTCACGCCTCTGCTGTATCTATTCATCCCATTTTATTATTATTACCATCATCCCTACTCCTTTGAGGTGAAATCAGGTGTATGTAATGTAAGCTGTGAGGGTGTGTAATATTTTTATATACCTAGCAATAAAATTTAACATACAATGTACATATAAATGAAATCTGGAAAAGTGCTTTAAGTTAAAAAAGTTCATTAGATTTGACATTGTCTTCATTAATTTTTTTTTAAATAGCATGGTAAGTGTACATTTATCTCGATACATTTTTTACTGGTCAACCTATAAACAGTAATTCATGTAAGTTTATGGGTTGTAAAAAAGATAATACATAAGCACACTAATGTAATGTCCAAATAGGAGTACAATTCAGTTGCATGAAAAACATATTCTTAATATTATTGCAAATAGCATATTCCTTATTAAACTGTCAAACACCAAGCGGTCACCGGTGACCGCAACCTATTGTTCTATAATTGTGTCTACAAAACCGGTACTCGATGAGTTAATATATTTTGTGCCAGTTCACTTTGGTTCCTAGCTCTGAGATTTAGACCTCATGTCCCACATGCCCTGACTGATTTATGATTTTGTGTGAATACAATAAAAGTGATGTAGTTTACAGTTTCCACTGAACATTTATAATATATAAGAAAATAAGAAAAACTGTGTATGTAATATGTCTAGTTAGAACTAGTTCACTCTACTGTTGAACATAATCCTTCCTCTATAACTTCCAGATTGGCCAGTTGCAAAAGTTATACCTAGTTATAATATTATCAGTATATGATTTATGTCTAATAAATTGTATTCCTATCAGATTATTTCTATACTATAATAAATCCCTAAAGCTAAAACTCTTAGCCTCATAGAGCCATCAGACCACCACGGATGGGGCCCATTAGGGCTGATGCCGATTCGGAGTCGCGGAGAACCTAACGGGTTACCGGGGCTCCGGGTCGAAGTGCAGGAGAAGGAACAGGGTGGTTTATAGTCAGTAAGAGTCTGACATTCACTTCCGCCTCACTCAGACGGGAAGTAATTCGATGATTTTCCGCCTTAAAAAAAAAGCTAAAACTTAGCGGAACTGTGGTCGAGTTAGAAAGTACATAGTATACAAATACGATCCTCTGTTTTAGCAGTTCATGTTACAAATATTTTTGCGATTTTCGATGATTTGCAATAAAGATATTTTATTTCGCAAATACCTAACATGTCATGGTGGTGCATAATAAAAAATACAGAAACAGCCATTTATGATGCCGTTGTAACTCATTGTAAAAACAATGACAGCACGCTACTGCTAGCAAGACTATTGTTAAATTGAAATGTATCGTCCAATAGTTGGATAGTAGCGCCAGCAATTTCTCTTATTAGACAAGCAGACCTAAGATCCCATTCCCATTAGCACCCTTTAAGAAAAATTCTAGTCCAACATCTCTACAAAGCCTGATACACTCAGACCACAGATTACTATATACTAGTCAGAGAACTCAGACTTTTGACAATAGATTTACCAAGATTTACCACTGCCAGTCCAAGGCAAGATTAAACCATAGATTTTGAAAAGCCTGTCTGCTAAGAACACTTCTACCCACACAAAATGGTGACATTATGAAGTGGATAAATCAAACATACGTTGGTTCTTTCTAACTGCCACCACAAACAGGTGGCACCACGATGTATATATTATCATATATCGATATTATCAATCGTCTCATTGTTTGATTGTTTGTCATTAGCCACTGGGTTTAGTTACAGAGTCGCACAACCTATTCTTCAGATGGGGCCATAGAGTATAGTAATACATATGGATTGGGCTCATTTGAGTTAAATGCCTGATCAGTAGTGACCCTGGCTCCGGCTAGAAGTTGAAAGCTCCGGCTGGAGTTGGGACAAACATAATTATGTTTAGTCAGTTAATAGCCTGACAGTCGCTCACGCCTAAGCAGAGGTATTCGATGATCTTTCCCTCTCAAAAACTATGTAAGTATTATTAGGATTTTTTTAAATATAGGGATTGGTCTTAAAACAATATCGCTAAGTGCCGTCAAAATTCATAATAGCCATACCATCATTTACATAATGAGGTTCTAAACAAATTGAGATTGAGACTCTCGTACAGAATTTGATGTACCTACTGTTGCCGGCTAAAAAGGAACAAGCTCTTTTTTTGAAGGTTTGAAGGTCGTATCGGTTTGGAAATATCGCCGTTGACAGGTCATTCCACAGTTTTGCTGTACTAGGCAGAAAGCTACGTCAGGGGCGCGCAGTTATGGCCTGCCAACCATCTATATGATGGGGATGCATATGCTGTCGTACAGGTCGATAGCGAAAAGATGCTGCAGGTACCAGGCCGAACAATTCCTCAGAGCACTCCCCGTGGTATAAGCGATAGAAAATGCACAATGAAGATACATCTCTACGCATTGCCGAAGAAGCCGGTTTGAAACATCCCGGCATCCAACAATTCGAACGGCACGACGCTGAACGCAGTCCAAAGGAAGAAGCTGGTACTGGGGTGCCTCTGCCTAAAGATGAAAACAGTATTCCCTGGGGTGCCCCTGCCTAAAGATGAAAACAGTATTCCATGTGGGGCTGAACCTGCGCCTTATATTATAGAAGCAGGCGGTGGACCGGGGTGAAATACTGCGTCGATCTATTGAGCACACCAAGCTTTCTCGCAGCTAATTTGGCCCAGCTGACCGCGGAACTGAACGTCGCTCGAAATGCTGACACCTAGTATTCCAATACCGGCTGAGGCAGTTAGGGGGGTGCTTTGAAACTGACGAAGACATAAGTGGTTCTTGTTTGGTCCTGGTTTCCTAGCGGTAAACACGCAGATATGTGTCTTAGTGGGGTTAAACTGGACCAAATTAAGTCCACCTCAATCAGAGATTCTCCCTAAAGAGGTCTCGATTTCAGACACGAGTCTGTTTCGACTCTATATTACGTTTTCCCGAGGAATGTTAGCGCGACTGGTGTAGTAGGCATCGTCTGTGCTGTCATTCGCATAACAATGAATGCCGTTGATTTGCAGCATGTCATTGATATGAAGGAGGAACAATGTAGGTGATAATACGCAGCCATAAGGAACGCCTGCGTTTACAGACAGCGAGATCATTCACCGTCGACAACAACCTTAATGCTTTTCTGTCTGAAAGGAAGCAGGAGATCCATTCGCATAATCCATAGGAAGGAAGCTTCGAAAGAAGCGCTCTATGCTAAACCTGATCGAAGGCCATCGCCGCGTCCAAACTTACTGCCAACGCTCCCCTCTTAGACTCTTTTGTTGTTACATTATTGCTTTATATTGTTGTCATTATTTGCATAAATGTTAAAAGACACATAACCAATATATTCAAAGAAGTTATGCTAGTAGGTAAAATAATCTTTTGTAAATAGAGAAGTTGAAATTTTTTCTTGGCTTCATTTCGGAGTCCAGATATTAATACCATAGATTTTGCAAATGCAGAGAGAACTTTCGTGCTGGCAACACTAGATCTTGCCATAGATTTTGTTTGACACATTTGTTCATGGTTTTGTTGTGACATTCTAATCATTTCACAAATTCAAAGCTTGCAGGCAGTTGCGCGCGTTGTATTTGTATCTCAAAACGTGTTACGTGAACAGTCTTTACTAGTACAAGTGTCTAGCTGAGGCTGAAACCATATCGGACCCGATATTTTCTTGTTTTCCTTGTTAAACAAGATCCTCAGTGAAGCGAGAAATCGCCGAGAGGTTGACTAAAATCAACACTCGGTACTTCCTATAATATCAACATGGTAAGCACGTGTTTTATAGCTACTGCATTTTTCATATATTTCCTTAAATATTCCAAGATTTACATGTGTATGAATATCTTGAACTGGCAAGTAATAATTCATTCAACAACATGCATTGGTTTCACGCGGTGATGCAATTTTTAGGTTATGTCCATTTTGCCGCTAGTGTTTTCAAACGTTTTTTAGGTAAGTGCTCGTGGTATTTTTCTTATTGTTTGATAATGTTTATTAATTTCTATTCCAGGGTGACTCAGAAGCTGCAGTGAACCCCAAAGCGTATCCTCTTGCGGATACCGCTCTGACCGCCAAGATTTTGAACTTGGTTCAGCAAGCATCCAACTACAAGCAACTCCGCAAGGGTGCCAATGAAGCTACGAAGACGTTGAATCGTGGTTTATCAGAGTTCATCATAATGGCAGCTGATGCTGAGCCATTGGAAATCGTGCTTCACATTCCTATCCTCTGTGAGGATAAAAACGTACCTTATGTATTTGTTAGGTCTAAGCAAGCCTTGGGCAGAGCCTGTGGTGTCTCGCGGCCAATCATTGCGTGTTCAATCACTATCAATGAAGGCTCGCAGCTAAAGCCACAGATCCAAAGTATTCAACAAGAAATTGAAAGACTCTTAGTGTAAGTCATATAAAAGTGTTTTATAAAATTATATTTTAATGTTGTGAGTGACATGCATACAAAATATATACAAAAATATTAGTTCTGTATGTTTCATTGAAACCTTTTTAGGTTTAGTTTCATAATTTTGAGTAATCCTTATGAAAGTATTGAAGAAGAAATTCAATCATTTATTTATTGATGTTACTTTAGTTTGTTCTTTGCATTGCATAACTGTGTAGTAGAATATTAATTCGCAGTTTAGTAACAGACCTCTTGACTGCAAAGTCCCAGAAAATAAGTAGTTAATCATTAAGTGTGTCAATACCAACTCTTAAATAATTTAACAATATTGTTATGGTATAATTTATTAACAATATGATTTGGAATTATTTACAATAGCAATAGCATTATAATACAGTAATATATTATTGAAATAGTTTTTTAACTCTAAGGTTCCAGTTGTCTTCCCAACCAACTTCTCTGAAAGAGGTGATCTCCTTGCGCATTCTATCCGCTATTGCATTCTGCTGACTGTTATTTGGAAAACCTTGGAACCAATTTGTTAATTCTTTGTAGAGTTCTTCACTTGTTCTAAAGGTGTATCCATTTACTCCGTTTTCAACAAGTTCGTCAAGGCTGTGGGCAAACAAATGGTATTATTTAGTATTAGTTACCTACATACCAGCTTAAAGACTGAATAAAACACCATTTAACTCGTCGAGTACCGGTTTTGTAGACACAATTATAGAACAATAGGTTGCGGTCACCGGTGACCGCTTGGTGTTTGACAGTTTAAAAAAACCTAGTCCTACCTACAACCTACTGAGTTAAGAAAACATAAAAATAAATATTTAGGAAAACTTAGATAGATGTATCTATTATGAGTATTGGTATAAATGGAATAATTTGTTATGGTCTCCTATATGGGTAGTCGGTTAACAAAATAATTAGGTCACCATATTGGGTTTTGTAGAAATATTTATGTACTGCCATCGACACACCCATACTACATTATTTAAGAAATAATAATAAGTTAGCTCACCATAGAAAATCAAAAGCACAAACAGGTAATCCAGCACCAAACATGTCAACAACTTTCATAGGGAGGTCTAGTCCAGATGAACTGGTGTGCAAACAAACTCCGAGATCTGCACTGGCCACCATTTTGGGATAATCAGCAGCTTCCAGCCAAGGTGTGAACACCTGGATGTTCTTCCATTGCTTCTGCTCTATCTTCTTGAGATACCACTCTTTCTCAGGTCCCTTACCAGTAATCACACAGACCAATTTTGGTAATTTATCAGTAAGATTACAAGAATTTTCATAAACTGTGAAGTAAATAAAACCTTAATTTTTTTATTTATATCTGACATAGCATATTTTTATGGTACTAACTACATGGCAGTGGTATAATAGCCATAGAATTGTGGAAGCATAACATTAGTAAGGTCGGAGTATCTTACGTTGTAAAGCCTCCATAAGCAATCCAAAATCTTCATCAGCAGTCCAGCTGGTGCTGCTAAACAGAAGGCCTGGTCTGTCAGACCTTAGTTCTACTTTGCCATTGACTTCTTTAGTAAATCGAGTTTTTGCATTAGGCACATTAACTTCACTTAATTCCTCATCCCCAAATGCAGGATAGGTCTTGCTGAGCTGAAGGAACCAGTCATGTTTTTCTTGTATCGTAAGTGGCCTAAATATTTTTGGTGGCCTGTCGTAAAGAACTATTGCATTGCTAAAAATAAAACCACATTATTATTAAGATACTTGCAATCATTCATAAAAATGTAAGTGGTTCTTGAATGCATACTTCCAATATACTTACTTTACATTCCAATTCATCATTAGGTCTTCCTTCATAGAATATGTGACACACATACTTTGATCTGCTGACTGGCCAAAGAATGTTTCAATAAACCTGGCTATTCTGACAATAATGTGGTCAGGCGACAGAGACATAGCCATTATTGAATATGCATAGTTGTGCCAGTCTATAATAAATTTAGCTTTACTAAATAAGCAATATATTCTACATACTGGTAATGTAGGTATTGCCGGTGGGTTCTGACACAGAACATAATGGCATTTGCCGGTTACATATAACGTAAACAGTAAACTTATTGTCTGCCAAATCGTTTTGGCTACATATCTTATCAATCTAGGGCCAATACTGATAGGATGGAGTTGGGTAATGGTTATGTGAGGATGTTCTGTAATTTCCGATAGAGGTTCAGAATCCAAATAACCAATAATATTCACATCCAATCCATTGTTTGCAAGAGATAACGCGTGATATTGCATACGTGGACTTCTACCGATATCGCCCAAAACAACCACTTTAACAACTTTTCTTTCGTGTTCTGACGCCATGGTGTTAAAACACAAGTTTACACTCACGAGCCTTAAACTTAATTCATAGTTTTTCTAGTTAATAAATTCTGTTATTGGCGATTTTATTTAATACAATTTGTTTTCAAACTTTTGATTTCGGCAAATCGCGCTCTTGGCTGTTAAGCAAATTGACACTATTGACTTGACACTTGACAGTCACAATGAAAAACCAATGTCATACTCATGACAAAATTTATGGGAAAACCATAAATATTACTCGGTTGCCATTACAGAAAAGAGAAGAAGTTATAAATACGATTTTCGTTTAGTTTCAAAGTTTGGGTTAACAAAGAAAACACGTTATGCACGAAATCTGGAAATAGGGTAAGAGTCTTCTTATTTTTGAACTGTTTGATTCATAATTTTTTTGCAGATCATTATCGTAAATCCTTGCCATTATCCCCCAAAAAGTTGTGTTAGAATGTGATGTCAAAAGAACGCTGTAGGTAACTCTGTGAGGTACATAACTGCCCCTATACTTATTATACTCTTTGGGTAACTGGATGTCAAAATCAGCTGTGCTGTGTGTGTGTGACAATACAAAGAGTATTATAGTATTATTGTATTCAGTATTGTTATTTGCGATTTTGTGGTGCTGGTAATGATACCTACAATAATTGCTTTAATTATTATAATTTGATAAAAAAAGATATCCAGACATGTCTAAAGTGCTGATAATAAGACATTTACCAGCTGCACTATCTTTTGAAGATAAAGAACAACTCTTAAAACATTTTGGTGCGGAAAATGTTTGGGAAACAAGATCGAAACGTAATTATGTTTTTGCTTCGTTTAGTAGTGTTGATAAAGCTAAGGCATCACTTTCACGACTTCATCAGCTGGAGATAGCCAACCGCCGACTTGTGGTAGAATACTCCACTGAAAAGGAACCAATCATAAGTGATAAAACTCATTCTGAACAGAATTCTGAAACTACAAAGTTAATCAAACAGTTCCTAAAAGTTTTAAACGCATGGAATCCGTCTATTGACTTCTACCAACCCCCTCCTATTCACTTAAAATATAATTATCCTGACATTAATTCACAAATAGCTATGAATATAATTTACTCACTGTTTCGTCATAAACCTCTTTATATTCAAACATTACATTTAATGAACAAAATGTGTCTTGAAGTTCCCTTTGAAGAAAATCAAATATCTATGGATTTTTTCAAAGAAACTTTCAGGCAATATTTTGTGACAGACATCCAACTGCCTCCACCGCTACCAAGTGAAACAGAGTCTGAGATATCCAGTGCAGAAGATGAGCATAAAGTAGAACCTATCAGAAAACTAGTGACAAGGAAAAGAAAACTTCCAGTTCCAAAACCAATACATCCTATCAAGCTCCAAGCAGTGCTGCCAGTCACAACTAAAACAAAGAAAACAATGGTTCATCAGGAAGAAGTATTTGAAACAGTAACTCCTATTCAAGAACCAAAGAAAATCTTGTTGAATGTTCATCAAGATGCTCTACAGAAACCCACCGAGGAACCTGAAGTTATTGGAGAACTTGGGAAGTTCCAAAAAGAAGATCCACCGGTTGAGGTTGAAGACAAACAGGAAGAATCAGACCAGCCAGTCATTACCAAAAAGGAACTATTACGGAATAGGATATCACTCAGGGATATGAAGATATTACCAGTTTTCAAAAATTACCATCCTGGGGAACCATCAATGAGACTGTACATTAAAAATTTAGCTAAGTCTGTGTCTGAAAAAGACTTAATGAGTATTTATAAGAGATATGTTGAAAAATTGACTGATAAAGAAATGACTGGTTTTGATGTACGAGTCATGCAAGAAGGTAGGATGAAAGGACAAGCATTTGTGACATTCCCTTCTGTGCGTATAGCAGAAACAGCACTGCATGAAACTAATGGCTACTTGCTAAAGGAAAAGCCAATGGTTGTACAATTTGCTAGAGCTGCCAATAAAAAGACAATAGAGTAATATTTTGTGTTTATTATTTTAGTTCATCAGTAACAACATAGTACATTATTTACATTTAAAATATTCAACATCATATTTGCATTAATTCTATAGCATATGAAAGAGACCCTTCATCATTGTCAATCATTTTACCAGACAATAACTTGTGTATAACCGGCAGCACCTCACTGACTGTGTGCAACTGTTTGATGAGGTCTGCAACAACATTCAGTGTATTTTGCAATACTGATGTTACTTTTGCATCTTTTGTCATCAAGTACTGTTGATAAAATGCATCCATTAACAAAGTAAACCAATCAAATAATTTGCTTTCATAGTCTGTATCCATATTTTTGTCTGAATTTACCAATATATGAACCATATAAGTCATTAGAAACAGAGTATCATCCAATCGAAGACCATTTCTCAGCGGTGGAATGATGAGAGCATCACTAAATGAGATTTGTAGTGTAAAGTTTAGCAACTCAAACTTAGCTTTGTGAACTATCTGATCCTTCTTTGTAGTGTGTTCACCAGAAAATAATTTTGCAAATTCTACAGCATCAGTCACATCAATATTATTTGGGTTTACTAGATTTATAGCATACTTGAGTATTGCTACTAGAACTGTTTCTGGTACATCTTTGAACTGCTTTAGCGTTTGGTACACTGCTCTAAAATCATTTTTCTCCAGTAGTGGTGGTATGACATTATTACAAATACTTCTTTCTGTCAATCCTAACTTTAGAAGTTCTTTTGTGTCATCATTGACTGGGAATTGAGGTTCAGTTGGAGAATCCCAGTTTGCAATCTCCATACATTCATTTTGAATAATTTCATGAGATCCTAAGAGGCTTGATAGGTTTCTCTTTGTCTGTAGCACATATGGCAACATGCCAATATGGTTGGACGCTTCTAAAATAATGCGGCCATGGAAGCAATATAACTTGGCACCCTCTGAATACATTTTCATTGGATACCGACATGACCCAACTCCAAGAACTATATTATAAGCTATAATGATTGCTCCATCTTGTTCTGCACAACTTCCAAATACAATGAGATGGTCCTTGCCCATCCAGGCTATAGATACACTAGACAAGGTGGATATCCAAGGTACACTGCCTATTGTTTTCCAGTCCTTGAAGTCATACACTGTCATCTTGCCATCACTCCCTGCAAATTAAAACCATTCAAGTCATAATTACAAGTAAAAAAAATTTATAATAATAATAATTAAAGTTGGAACTTATTTTAAACTTACATAAAATGTAAACAGCATTCTTCTCCTCAGTGCAAATAAATTTCCCGACAACATAAACATCATCAGGTCTTGCAATTTTGATTCTGGTTAACTTGGATCTGTCCATGTCACCCAACTCATCTCGTAGTGGGCAGTTCAGTATTTCATAAGCATCTTTATTGTTCTTTACAATATAACAAATGAAATCTGTTTTGTTGATAGTGTAAGAAGCTGTTTCAACTATTGAATCTGTGTCCTTCAGCAGTGACTTGCTCTCGTAAGTCTTTCTGTTGTCCAAAGCATATGGTAGAGATGCACAGTTACCGTTACTGAACACAAGAATTGGTGACTGCTTGCTTCTCGGAATTATCTTTAAGATGTTTATAGGAAACTGAAACATAAAATACAAATATTTTAAAGATGTTTACAATCTACCAACAAAATTATAAAACAAGTACTTTATTAGGATATTTATTATTTACCTTAAACTTCTTAATTTTATCTAAGTTGTCAGAGTCTTCCTTCCAAATTTTAACAGTGTTGTTATTAAAAACCCCAACATAGCTCTCCTGCTCCTTGTCAAAGATCACTGTGGACGTAATGTGATCTTTAGAAGTCCATCCGCCGATTTGCTTTTGGTCTGAAAGCTGAATAAACCAAAACATTCCAATTATAACCTTAGAACAAGATACGATTATATGAAGATAATTATCACAAACGGTAGTACTAACATTTTATGAATAAACTTGACATCTGAATTATCTGAATCTAGTTTAGAGGAAATGCAATGTACTTACTTGATATTTATTGACCACATTTCGTCCCAAAGTAACAATAACGTGTTCTTCTACTTTATCTTCTGCTACGCCAAGAAAACTTTTTTGGTCTATTAAAGGGCAAAGTACGTAGTAATTGTGTAACTTAGCCATTATTTAACACATTAATTATTAGTTTAATTCATTAATTACACATATCCGCGTGTTTTTATTTAGCGAAACAATACGTTTATCTGTCTGTCAAGTCATGATACGTTGATCCGCTCATGTGCCAAACTTAAATTTTGACAGTGACGTTAATAATTTGTGTGACTGACTTCGCAGCTTTCGTACAGAAATTATTCATACGTTTTTTTCAAGTTACATTTACAAAGTAAGCAAATAGAGGTAAATTACAGCATCTAAATTACTGTTTAATGATGTAGGTACTTTTTGTTTTTTGTTTTTCAACGTTCTTGTTTTTATTAGACTTTTGACCATCATAATCTAATTCTAATCTAACTGCAATTAGCGTTCGTTGGACCATATATTTCGATTTTCGAATGTGAGTATTATTATGATAAATAATAATAAACCTAAGATTAATTTCAATATAATTATTTCACATGAATAAATGTAATACGTACTCAAGAAGCGCATTTCAAGCTAAATTTGTAAATTCATGATCAGAGTTCAAGGTTATTACCTACTTACATCATTTGGAGCGTGTTCTTATCGTTCAATCAAATAATATAGTATTACATCATTGCTACGTACGACGTACGTATACTGAGTCGACTTGGCCAAGTTATTGTTTCATTCGATTCATTTAGTCATTCTGTGGCAGACATCCAGTACACACGAACATGTCTACAGCCGGTAAAGTTATCAAGTGTCAAGCGGCCGTGGCATGGGAGGCCGGCAAGCCTCTATCCATTGAAGAGATAGAAGTAGATCCTCCTAAAGCTGGTGAAGTTCGCGTCAAGATCACCGCTACTGGAGTCTGCCATACTGACGCATATACCCTTTCCGGCAAGGATCCCGAGGGCGTTTTCCCTGTAGTGCTGGGCCATGAAGGCGGAGGTATCGTCGAGAGTGTCGGTGAAGGTGTTACCTCCGTGAAGCCCGGAGATCACGTCGTTCCTCTGTACGTACCACAGTGCAACACCTGTAAGTTCTGCTTGAACCCTAAGACTAACCTATGCCAAAAGGTGCGCGTGACACAGGGCCAGGGTGTCATGCCCGACGGCACCCGCCGCTTCCGTTGCAAAGGACAAGAACTGTACCACTTCATGGGATGTTCCACATTCAGTGAATATACTGTTGTTCTAGAAATTTCTCTGTGCAAAGTCAATGAAGCAGCAGCTTTAGATAAAGTATGCTTGCTGGGCTGCGGAGTCCCCACTGGCTATGGAGCTGCCCTGAACACAGCTAAGGTAGAACCGGGATCAAACTGTGCCATCTTTGGTCTGGGAGCCGTGGGTCTGGCTGTAGCATTAGGATGTAAGGCAGCGGGAGCCAAGCGTATTATTGGAGTGGACATCAACCCAGACAAGTTTGAAGTTGCTAAGAAGTTTGGAGTGAATGAATTTGTGAACCCCAAAGATTATGACAAACCCATCCAACAAGTACTGGTTGACTTAACTGATGGAGGTCTAGATTATACCTTTGAGTGCATTGGCAATGTGAACACCATGCGTGCTGCGTTGGAAGCGTGTCACAAGGGCTGGGGAGTCTCTGTTATCATTGGTGTGGCCGCAGCCGGAGAAGAGATCAGCACCCGACCATTCCAGCTGGTTACTGGACGCACCTGGAAAGGAACAGCTTTCGGAGGTTACAAGAGCCGTGATAATGTACCAAAACTTGTTGATGAATACTTGGCAAACAAACTTCCTCTGGATGCATTTGTAACTCACAATGTGCCCCTTAAAGAAATCAATGAGGCATTCCACTTGATGCATGAAGGAAAATCCATCCGTGCTGTTGTACAATTGTAATTTATAACATCAATAGGAATACTACATAGTTTTGTAAGCATTTCTATTTCTAATGGTCATTGTTATACTGCATTTTATGAGTGATAAAATGATTACATGTGAGACATGTTATCTTTGTAATATTAAACTGTTACTATTCTAAATTTTATTTTTCATTTTCCTCCTTATGTCACTTGCACACAGTTACAATAATTTTGTTAAAGTTCTGAGTGATCACTTGATCAGGCACACATTTCTTTCTTGTTTTTTTAAGTCTAAAAATTAAATCTAGAAAAATTTGCATTTTAGATATATATTATACCTACACACCTAGATTTTGCAATCAGTCAGACTAGTTATAACTGCTACTGCTCTTACCAAGACCCTACATTATAAATTATCATAATTAACTATTTTGTATCTTCAACCAACATCTGTTGGACATTGTGGACTTATAGCAATTAGACTATCATTCAATGGTTTATCTGAATTAATTTAATCTTGAGTCAAGTCAAGGGATATCTTTAAGATAAATGAATGGAAGCATGTGTTTATTATACCTATATACAATATACATACATGTATATGTAAGTAGTTGTAGTGTGTGTGTGTGCAGTGGTTGTATTTAATACGTAAAAGCATATAATTAAGGATATATAGTATCTTCTAATAGATACTATAGAATATATATGATACCTAAACTTTTTATTTTGTATTCAATTCGCAAATCTAAAAATTTTATTAAATTGAAATAATAATATCTACGAAGTCCAGGCCAAGCGATAGATAATATTATTCGTACTAAATGTGTTCTCAAACAGCAAATGTATTACAGAATACTGCTATTGACTATTGTATTGTGAATGGCTACTTCCGCTTTATTTGCGGCGTGCAGAGGCACGGCAGCGGCCTTAACATTGAGTTTGTTTAAATTAGTCACCAACTCCTAATTGAAAAAACTAGTAAATTGGTAACGTGCGCAAATAACTATTAAAGATATTGTTCAATCCATATACAACTAAAACTTGTAATGGGGCAACATACTAGGTTCTACATTTATATGATTTTCACTTAACTAACTGCCAACTAGTACATGGAAAGGTATATGAAAATAAAATGATAAAAATAGGAAAATAATATTTGTCTATATTTCATAACAAAATATACATCACATTACTTAACTGTAACTAATCAACAGTATTACAAACATCCATATATTTACAATTTACACAATAATTTTCTAATAAGAGAACAATTTTGTAGTAACAAAGAATATTTTGTCAAAATTATTACATCTATAAATTATAATAATAAGATAACATGTAAGATAGTGTGTTTCTGATAGGTATATAATAATTGTCATATTCACGTGAGACACATTAAACATTATTACTATTAATTACTATAAATAATTATTATGCAATTTAATAATATCTTATTACAATAATTAAATATTCGAAAAATAAATACATAACTTGCAATTAGAATAGATTTATCAAAAGCTTCTTAGGTAGGTACATAATATAAATTTTGCAGTTGACATAAAAAAATAAATAGGGAGATGATAGGGTAAAATAGATCAATAGGTATATTTTATTATCAATTTCATTAATTTATTGGTGATACATAATCAATGTACCTATTGGACACGAAGTATCAAATATAGGAACATGCAGTAATAGACGTCCACAGCCCATGCCACGAAAATCAACTTGTTGGTAAATAGATAGATAGCAATCGATAGAGTAATTATTTTATACAAAGTATTGCATTTTGGCTGATGATTGTGAGGCTTTGCGTGGACTAAACTCTCAGACAAGCTATTACAAACCTGTATTCACAACAAAAGATTATTTATATTATACATGGGAATATAGTTTGTTTCTGCATTCATTTTACATCCTGTCTGAGAACAGTGAGAACAATATAACATATGTTGATATCGTTATTAATAGATGATTGTATGAATGCGTGTTGTAATAATACATGGATGGCTTGACATGCAAGGACCACGCTATTGGGGCTCGGCTGTGATCTGCTTGTAATACTCCACGTAACTGTCGCATTGTTCACCTGAAACAATAGCCTTGTGATGAACTATACAGTAGTTAACAGAGCAATGACGTAATGTTACGTATGATGGGGTAGGTTGAGTGGCCACATTAAAAGAACACCCATTCATCGCCTCTGGTTCATTGAGACATCGCCGAGTGCTTACCATCAGGTGATCTGTCCGCTCAGTTACCGGGTTATTCTATGAATATATTAAATTAATGAAATTAGTGTTATAAGTTTAGTATCATGGTGTAGAGAGGGAGTCTATTATCATACACCAATCACTCTGCTATAATTGAGAATTTTGAAGATCAAAAATCCTATCAACAAAATTATTGCGAACAAGTGTTGGTTCTTGCTTAATACCCATGCTTGCAAGTTGCACCTCATCATCATCATCATATCAGCCACAGGACGTCCACGGCTGAACATAGGCCCTCCCCCAATGACTTCCAGATAGGCCGGTTGGAAGCGAGCTGCATCCAGCGGCTCCCTGCGACCTTAATGAGGTCGTCTGTCCACCTTGCGGGTGGACGTCGTACGCTGCGCTTGCCGGTCCGTGGCGTCCACTCGAGAACCCCCAGCGGTTGTCGGTTTTCCGCGCTATGTGCCCTGCCCACTGCCACTTCAACTTGCTAATCCGCTGGGCTATGTCGGCTAGTTGCACCTACTCAACAAAATATTTTTCAAAAGGATGCGAAATAATGCTGCTGCGATAGGTACTCATATCATTTGTTCTTCCAACGATATTGAAGAAAAATTCTACGTTGTTTCAATTGTTTCTATGATAATAATACATAATAATAATTTATAGCTAATCTGTTATCAGACAAATCCTCTCTTACATAGTTTAGATAACATCAAAAATATAATTAAATTATTTAGCATATTGAATGCTAGAATATGAATCTATTTCGTTTATAGAGGTTGAACCAATATTACAGTAAAAAAAAACTACTTATTACTTCAAATATGAAAGTAGGTATCCTGTATCAAAGAGTTATCTGGATCATGAAGCAAAGTTTATCAGAAGTAGCGGCACCATGACATCAACATATTATTAACTATAAATGGTGTTGATAAGCTATCAGCTGAAAAATAAGTTACACCATGATAATTACGTGTTTTTTTATAAAACTGTACCAGACTGGTTCAGTCCGATACACGCACGCACTATTTAGTATTAATTGGGGTCAAGTGTTAAATGTAATTTGGCGATATATACCTATTATTATTACTAAATGTAATGTTACTTTAAAAAATAGTAATACATGTGGACTTTCGCAAAGTGCGACAATTACTTCTTAGAAGAATTATAGCTGAAAGTGTTTTTGCATAAGTTTAGAGCTAAATAATTATTTAGTGTAAGTTTGTCACTTATAATACTTTTGCCATATTTTCATAGAGTCTGTAATAGCATAGTGGGTGAAAAGATTTCTGTAATATTATCAATTCTCGTAAGATTAATGTACTTTCCTTAAACTGTCAAACACCGAGCGGTCACCGGTGACCGCAACCTATTGTTCTATAATTGTGTCTACAAAACCGGTACTCGACGAGTTAAATTGATTTCGAAAGATTAATATCATGATCAGCGACCGAGAAACAGACAGCAATTAGACCTAGTTTTCAATAAGGGGTTTGCTGAGTTTTGCGTTTTCCAGCTGCAAAGGGGAGTAGTGTAGTAGGTCTGTATACCTTTGAGGAAGTGCGGAGAGCCCCGAGTGCGTTCGTTCCGCTGCAGCAGCGCGTGGTAGACGGCGGTGAAGGCGGTGGGGCGGCCGTGCGCCTGCGCGTGCGCGCGCGCCGCCGCCAGCCACTTGCGCGGCGCCAGCCCGCCCAGCCCCGCCTGCCGCGCCGCGCCCAGCCCCGCCACCGGCTCGTCCCAGCCC